CGTTTGAACCCGACTTGAAACACAACAAGGAAATGCCATTTGGAGTCACATTTGCACTATAAAGAAGCTCTCAAAGAGCTGGATTTAAAAAAGAGAGATGGGATTTGAATCACGGATGAAAGCGCTGAGGTTTCCAAACTTCCACTAGCGCAGCACAGCGCCGTTTGCCTCGACACAAACATGTCAATTTCACACCCGAAGCTCGGGGGGGGGGGCCCGATTTCCTCCGCAGTTTCGTGATCCTGGTTTTTGAGGATCATGAAACTGTGGAAGTAATCGGGCGAAGCCCCGAGTCAAATGCAGCCCCGCAGCCCTGGGTGTGAAATTGACATGTTTGTGTCAAGGCAAACGGGGGCTGTGCTGCGAGGCAGCTCTAGTGAGAAATCGTGATGTTGCAGAGGAAATTATGGACTGTATGAGATGGGGCAGAGATGTTTCTGAGGGCTCCCCCACATAAAAAGTGGCCCACAAGCAAGGTTGCCAACTACTGCTTGGGAACTACCTGGAGATTTGGGGGGTCAACCCTGGGACGGTGGGGCTTAGAGAGGAGTGGGAGCTCAGCAGGGTATAAAGTCACAGAGAACATCCTCCGAAGCAGCCATTTCCTCCAGGAGAACTGAGCCAGTTTGGTGTAGTAGTTAATCAGGGAGAACCGGGTTTGATTCCCCCACTCCTCCACTTGCACCTGCTGCTGGATGACCTTGGGCAAGCCATAGTTCTGGCACAGCTGTTCTTGAAAAAGAGCCGTTTCTGCCAGAGCTCTCTCTGCCCCGCCTACCTCGCAGGGTGTCTGTTGTCGGGAGGGGGAAAGAAAGGAGTTTGTAAGCCGCTCTTCTTCTTCTATGGGGGCACTTCGGGGCCTGGCCCCCGACTTCCTGCCAGGGCCCCACTACTTCGTTGCAGTCCAGCCTGGATGCAGTGGCCACTGTGAACTCCCCCTACGCTTCCTGGACCATGGTGACGGGGGGGGGGTTTCCTTATGCTCAGAGGTCCTGTTGTCGTGCTTGGCTCTCTGCACAGGTGATCATTGGTGCCCTTTTTCCTGGCCCCCACCCACCTCCAGCTCTGCCCTGGGCTGTCCGATCAGCTTGAGGAGGGGCGGGCTGGGCTGGGCGGCAAGGGGAGGGACCCCGGAGGAGAAAGCAGCGCTCCGGTCGCACCATTCACAGCGAGACAGGCACCTCCGTCGCTGCCCTTTGTCCCAGGAGCTGCCCTTTGTCCCTTCCTTAGGCCCCCCCACGCGTGGGAAGCAGTGACGGAGCAGCAGACGCTCCTCCAAAGACCCCTCACCCTCCTCCCATGGCTGCTGGTGGTGGTACTGCTGCTGGGCGCAGCAGGTGCTGCCAGGTAGGACATGCAAAGTAAGCCCTCCCTGTTGCTGGCACCCACACACACACACACCAGCCAGGCATCCCTGGCATGGCGAGTCCCCCAGTGCCTCTGGGCATCCTTGGCCCACCTGGAGCATGTAAGTTAATTTTACTGTATTAGCCAGTGCTCAGAAGAAACTCCATTAAGGGAAGAATTTGTACAGAAATTGCTAGATATAGCCAAAATGGATAAGTTAACAATATTGCTGCAGGGAAAGGGGGAAGAAGCATTTGATAAAACTTGGGCAAATGTATATACGTGGATCGGTGATATCACAAAAAAGTGTAACGGTGTATGAATTAAGGTGTACGGTTGGTTTAATCGCTGGAAAATTCTCTTGTGAGTTAGAAATGCTTTCAGCATACAGCACGAATTATGGATAGTTGGAAAACTGAAAATAATAATAATAAAGAAATTCCTGGCTACCGATGACCAAAGAAAGTGAAAGCAGCGTGCAGTGCAGAGGGGAATGTCTGTTCCAACGTGGGTTTGCTAAAACAACAGAGGGAAAAGCCAATGCAGAATCACTCTGTGACTCATCGTGGCCGCAATGTGCTCCCTGGATTCGATCTGGGCCTCGACGCATGCGTGCGTGCATGCGAAATTGCCTTTGCTCTTCAATGCCCTCAAATGACCTCGAGAGCTGCAAACAGGTTAGATCCACATCTGCAATTCTCTTTTTTTTAATTAATGTTTGTTTGATCGTATTTCTATCCCGCCTTTCCTAGCAAGCGCGCTCAGGGCAGGTTACAACTGAGTCAAACAGTTAAAACATCACAGTACATTCATGATTAAAGCCAATAAACCCCAGTAACACAACCCACAAGGTGGCAATTACAATTCGATCCATTACAATCCACCTGCACCAGAAAGTGCCAAGCAAATCTCCTTTGCTTCCATTCCCCATAACACTTTTACTTGGGCATGGAAGCAGCAGAACAAGTCACGCCACCTGCACTCAGCTCCAAAGTTAACAACGTCTTTCCTAAAAGCTTCGCCATTTTCTACAGAAATGGCTTCAATGCACAAAAACTTCAAATCCTTTCTAGTCAAAGACCTGTTCCAAAACGAATGGATGGCAGGGAAACAAATTTGCCTCCACTAAGAAAATCAGAGGACGGCGGAAGACAGGAAGGCCTGGTGGGATCTGGTCCATGGGGTCGCGAAGAGTCGAACTCGACTGTGCGACTGAACGACAACAAGAAAATCTCCGAAATACAACAGTAATTGTGATCAATATTGCTACAGATTGATGGATATTTTAAACAGATTCTACCAGGGCTTTTTTTGTAGAAAAAGTACAGCAGAAACTCATTAGCATATTAGGCCACACCCCTGATTGCACCACTCATTAGCATATTAGGCCACACCCTCATGTCACCAGAAGTGTGGTCATCCAGCCACACCCACTTTTTGCTTCTTATTCTGTTGACCTTGTTTGTTGTCAAAACCCAGGGCTTTTTTTGTAGCAGGAACTCCTTTGCATGTTAGGCCACACACCCCTAATGTAGCCAATCCTAATGTGTTTCTACTGCTGGGTGTGGCCTGTTATGCTAATGAGTCCCTGCTGGGTGTGGCCAACTCGGGAGCCAGCCGGAACTCCGTTCCTGTGCGTTCCTGCCCAAAAAAAGCCCTGTATTCTACCATATACAAGCCACCATCCTCTCCGGCCGTTACACAAACTGCTGTGATGTCACGGAACAGTCATTCAAAAAGTAAACAAGAGCCCTGACCTGGATAGCCCAGGCAAGCCCAGTCTCGTCAGATCTCGGAAACTAAGCAGGGCTAACCACGGGAAGTACTTCGATGGGAGACCTCCAGAGAATACCAGGGCTGGGAGGCCAGTGGCAGGCGATCAAGCCACTTCTCTGAATGTCCTCCATGCCCAGTAGGAGTCACCAGAGGTCACCCGGACTTCCAGGGACGCACACACACAAACGGAAAAATACTCTCCAAGAAAGAAGAAGCTGAATAGGGTTCTGGTTGTGAGAAAATGGAGGAGTAGAAAGCTAGTGAAGTGAAGTGAAGTTGCCTTTATTGGCATAGGAAAAAAACTGATACAAGTAAATACAGTTTAACAGGTAAATTAAAACTGCAATATACATATACATCAGTGTAAATATAAGATTATTTTCTGTGAGATCCCTTGGCGTACCTTTATAGCAGAGTAAAGAAACTTAGCCACCTTCTCGGTGACATTAGATGAGAAATCGTTTAAAAGTCTATACACCTTAAATGCATCAGAACAGTCCCTCATCCTAACTAGAACAGAATGTACATGCACATAACGTAAATCTGTATACAGGTGACAATAGAGAACATGAGTGACTGACTCAACACATTTTTGATTACAAGGGCAGTATCTGGCTGAGTAGGCTATCTTATTGAATCAGAGTGGAAAGCAATGTTCTAAGCCACCTTTGGGTCCCAACTGTAGTGGCCCCGCCAACACCTTTCCTGGTACCCGCCAAGTATTTTTAGAAAGTGGGCAGAGTCAGGAAGGGATTTTGCCCAGCAGGGCTTCTGGTTGGCCACTGGAGATTTGATTGGCTGTGCAGATGTTTAAAAACATTGCTCTGGCAGCAGCTGCCGCCACAGCTCAAGGATTTTCACTGTGTGACCAAAGGTAAGCTGCAGTCGCCATTTTGTGGCTGTCTCTCACCACTCTGTTACCAGAATTCCAAAGTTCAAAAAAGTTGGGGACCCCGTATTAAACCAACTGCATACAATTAAGCCCAACTCACCTTTGCATAGGGTTGTCAGGTCTTACCCATCTGCCGGTGGGGGGTTCCTGGCTTGGTCTGGGGTCTTCGAGCACGTGCACACCATAATGGCATCACCCAGAAGTGATATCATCATGCTGGGCACGAGTTTTTAGCCAACCACTAGAGTGTCCTCCGCGTGACATGCCAGGTGTGATGACATCACCTCCAGGTGAAGTCATCATAGCGGGCAGGGCTTTTTTGGTAGAAAAAGCCCAGCAGAAACTTATTAGCATATTAGGCCACACCCCCATGCCTTCCCTTGGCTTGCCCAGGCAAGCCGGCCCTTGGAGGAGAGGCAGTTTAAACCGCCTTCCCTTGGCTTCCTTGGGTGCCCCACGGCTGCGGGGAGCCTGGGCAAGCCCCCCCTTCAAGGGAAGGGAAGGGAAGGCAGTTTAAAGACTTGCCCGGGCGCCCCTTGGACAGGCAGGGGAAGGCACGGGGAGGCATTTAAATGCCTCCCTGATCCTTCCAGGGCCCCCCTGGCCCACCCACCTCGGAGTCACTGGGGAAGTCGCTCTCCAGGCCTTCCCTCTGTAGCCACACACAGAGAGGTGTTGGCTGTAGTGGGCGTGGCCAACTCTGAAGCCAGCCGGAACGCCGTTCCTGTACATTCCTACCCAAAAATAGCCCTGATAGTGCGACTTTTCAGGAGTTGGGCTCCCCTGCCGGCCAGTTGGCTGGCCGCAGATTGGGGGACCCAAAACTGGAGGAACCCCAGCCCCCATCAGGGGGTCAGCAACCCTAACCTTTGCACTGAATTCATCTGTCTTTTTAAACGACTGGCATTGCCCAGGCTTGGCTTGTCGAGAAACTCCTCTAGTCCCGAGGCCTTGTAGGAAGACCACAACCATCCCGGTTGCTTACCTTCTTTCGTGGCAGTGGTGGCTGTGGTGGCTGCAGTGGTCGCTGTCCCGCTGGGTCGTCCCACGGGGCTGGAGTGCTTCCCAGCCCGCCCAGGGATTTTAAGTCCACTTGGCTTCAACATGGTTGCCTTGATCAGTGGTTGAAGCTTCAGGATGCCCTCTTACAGGATACTTGGCGTCACAGCATCAGGCATATAGGTGCTGGACCTCTTCTTCCATCTTCAGAGTCTGAAATGAGGGAAAGAAAGAGACATACAAGATTTCAGGGGGAGAGGCTACATGAATGATAGGTGACAAGGGAGCACAGGAAGCTTTTGCCGGAAGCTGATGGGTTAAAGTACCCAGCTTTTCAGTTTGAATTGGATGCAGAAGTGCCATGACTCAAATGAATTTGCCCCTTCCTCCCCTTACTGCAAGCTAGAAAGGCTTTCAGTGTTTTGGGGAGGGGAGCCAAAGCATCCAGAGAAGGGAGTTCCTCAGGTGAAGAATGACCGCAAAATGTACTTCTCATAAGGACTCGAAAATTGCTTTGCTGAAGGAGCAGAGACTCACGGAAGCTCACCCCCTGCCACAAATTTTGTTAGTCTTTAAGGTGCTGCTGGACTCTTGCTCTTTTCTACCGCTACAGACAGACTAACAGGGCTACCCATCTTGATCTTTGCTGAAAATAGTTGAGCATGATATTGCTAAACAGGGTACATCTGGGAAGATCACAAGATAGGCACAAAAGCAGCTGCCGTCTGTTGCTGTCCCCCCCCAAAAAAATCTAGTCATCAGAAGTAGACTGCTTCTGTACATGGAAGTTCCACGGCCACAAAGGACATAAGCACAGCCTAAATGGATCAGACCCGCGTCTTTCTAGTGTCGCATCCTGTTGCCAAGAGTCGCTCCTAAGCAGGAGAGGGAGGCAAGAGCTGACACTTGTTCATCCCCCAACAACCTGGAATTCATGGGCACCCGGCCTCTGCGCATAGACGTTCGTTCCCATTTGGCTCCTATGGTAAATAGCTGTTAATGGGAGTTAGGGATTTTCCCTCCCTTGAAAATCATCGGAGATAGTGGACATCACCAAATCTTGCAGCAATGAATTGCACAATTACATACAATCAGGGGTCATTTCGTAGAAAAAGAGGTGCGGGAGCTCATTAGCATAACTTATTTGCATATGCCACACCCCCTGACATCACCAGAAGTGAGTCAAAAGGCAACACCCACTGCTCAGGCTCCACCAGACTGTTTTGGATCGCTAGCTATTGGGGGGGGGGGGACGTGCAGAGCTTGTACCTGAATAAAACTTGGTCTTAAAGGAATCACTGGACTGTTTTGGACCGGGGGGAGCTCTGCAACTTACCTAGCTGCTTCTTGCTCTGACTGAGGGCTGCTGGGAGCAGGGGGGGCTTGTTGCATGTGCCTGCCCCCTGGGCTCTTTACTGCCGGAGCTCCGCTCCAGTGCGCTCCTGCAGGAAATGTCCCCTGCATACAATGTGGAAAAGAATTCCGGTCCCTGATTTTCACCACCCATTGCTCGGCGGCCTAAAGTTTTGATGTTATGACAGAGGAAGGGAAAGTTCTCTCTCCTCCCGCGCCAATAATAGTTTTATAGGCCTCTGTCATGTCATCCCTTTGCTGTATCTTTCTACACAGACAGCCCTCAGGGTTGCCAACTTCTAGGTGGGGCCTGGAAATCTCCCAGTATTACAACCGATGTCCCCCCCTCCCCAAACCCCCCCCCCCCCAGGCCCCGCCCCCCCCAAATCTCCAGGAATTTCCCACCCCGGAGCTGGCAACCCTAGCCCCAAAGGCTTTTAGCCTCTCCTCACACAGAATGTATCTCTTGACCATTCATTTGCCTTTCGCACCCTCTTTCACCCACATAGCTATAAGTTTCCACCGCTCTCACCTCCAAAAGAAACTGAAGTTGTATTACAGCTCCTAGAACTTTTCACCACGAGAAAGATGGGGAATTTAAGCTGCAAAACAGGCAAGCCATCTCGAGACTCTGTGCAGCTCTCTCGCCCTCCTCGCTCTGCTTTTCACATCAGCTTCTGCTAGCCGGGAGCCAGGCCAGAAATCTCCCTCCCGCCAACTCAGCCAGCCCTGAAATCCCTTACTCACGCATTGATTGCTTCCTGTCTCAGCTACTCCCATCCCTTCTTTGATGACATTTTAAAATTCTGACCCCGTTCATTCCACCCGGGCCTACGCTGAGCAGGAAGCGGGCAGTTGCCTCCACGTGGCTTCTTGAGGAGTAGTATAAAAGCTTCCACCTTCTCTGTTGTCGTTTGATCGAACTTCAGTCAGTGTGTAGGAATATGCCGGCTCGCACTTTCTACAGAACTCTTCATCAGGCCAGTTAGCATTACAGTGTTCCCTCTAAGCTGAGTTAGCATGAGCCAGCTCGCAGTTTTTTAGCCTCCGGCTCACACATTTTTGTCTTAGCTCAGGAAGGATGGCTCCAGAGCAAACTAACTTATGCAGTAGCCAAATCACTCACTCACAACTTTCATGCCAGTCGCTCACAAAGTAGAATTTTTGCTCACAAGACTCCACAGCTTAGAGGGAACATAGCAAACAGGTTTCATTCTGCCTGATAAAGGATTTTGACACTTTCACAAGAGAGAGAGAGAAACTGGTTTTGCGTTCCCAGTCTGAACACAAGAAAAACACGTTTTTTGTTCCTCTGGCTCTTGGTGGAAATTTTTTTACCTCATCTGACATTTCTGTGGATTGTGCGCTTCCCTTGCTATATTTATGTATTACGTTAGTTTTACAACTTGTACCGTTTGTAGTGGTTTTCTTTATAAATTTGGTACAATGTTGGCTCTTATTAATGAAGGACGATTGATGATTAGTTGTATTTCCAATACTGTAAACTACCTCAGGAGTTTTTAGACTGAGGGGCGGCATACAAATCTTTTAAAAACATTTTGGGATACGTTTCCTCCCTGGTTACATTTTTTTTGTGGGGGGGAGGGCAGAACACAGGTTTCTTTGTAAAACATAAAAGCGCCTGAGACTTAACACGCCCCCACAAAATCCACAGATTTTGTCATTTGGGTGCTTTTCTGTCCCAACCGGTGCAACACGTTGGGATTAAAAGTGTCCCACAAGTTTCTACCATGGGAAACTGATCCAGTGGTGTTAGTTTCAGAGGATAACTGTCGGTCAGCAGTAGGGCAGCGAGATTTAAGTCCAGTAGCATTTTAGGGACCAACGAGATTTTCAGGGGATAAACCAGCATGATGTAGTGGTTAAGACTGGCGGACTCTAATCTGGAGAGCCGAGTTTGATTCCCAACTCCTCCTCCTCCACATGAAGCCTGCTAGGCGACCTTGGGCCAGTCACAGTTCTCTCAGGACTCTCTCAGCCCCTCCTGCCTTACAAGGTGCCTGTTGTGGGGAGAGAAACGGAAGGCGGTCATGAGCCCTTTGAGACTCCTTAGGGGAGAGGAAAGCAGCGTATAAAAACCAACTGTTGTTCTCCTTCTTTCAAAAGTCAAAGTTCCTTCATCAGATATCTGACAAAGGGCACTTTAACTCTCGAAAGCTTAGACCCACCAAATTTTGTGGGTCTCTAAGGTGCTACAGGACTTGAATCTAGCTGTACTAAGATGAAGTCTTATTGTTGTTTGTAGATTAGTACGCACCACGGGCTTCACTGAAGAACTATTTACCTCACCACAGACAGATATAATGCTAGGTTTGGAACAATAATCCCATAATACCAACAACGGTAGAGATTAATAATGACAGACCATTTATTTAATGGATTGTGTTGTATGTTCTAACGTCTTCGGTTCAAAGTCTAGATTTTGTGAAATCTACTTAGTGGAGTTGGGTTTATTGTAGTCAATACGCCACCCAGACACAATTTGCATATTTTTTTCCCTGATAACTAAATACTTGTATTTTTGTCTATCGTTTTTTTAAAAAACCGCCCTCCTTCTCAGGAGCTTGTGGAAGCACAAGTCCCTCCTCCTCAATTTTAACCTCTTTAACTACCCTTTAAGACCTGCCTAAATTCATTGATAGGTCTCATGGCTAGGTAGGGATTTCACCCAGGTCCTCCTAGACCAGTGATGGCGAACCTTTTAGAGACCGAGTGCCCAAACTGCGACCCAAAACCCACTTATTTATTGCTAAGTGCCAACATGGCAATTTAACCTGAATACTGAGGTTTTACTTTAGAAAAAACAACTCATACATTAACTTAAGATGATCCAAACAAAGTAAGGAAAGCAATCCCAAATGCTTTCATTTACTTAAAATTATTTGGCAGAGAATTCGACACTTTAATGATGGTCTGGGCCTGGCTGGGGCGATGGCACGCGTGCCCACAGAGAGGGCTCTGTGCCACCTCTGGCACCCGTGCCATAGGTTCACCACTGTCCTAGACTGACACATGAAACACCATGGCACATTACACCAAGATTTTCATACCATGCCAACCACTTTTGACAATGAGCAAATTCGCATTCTGATTTCCAAATAAACAGCAACACCAATAGAGACAATCCTCGAAACTATTTTTCACAAGCTACGGTACATCAGTCGTTAACTTTCATACAGCTGTAATGCAAATATTAAACTTGCATCATCTAGGACAGGCATCGAATGTTAAAATGGTTCTCGTTCATACTCCCCGACCTGCACTTGTAACATTCACACATACACACTCGTATGGTCCCGTGGCTCAGGCTTTCCTTGCAAATGGATCCCTTCACACAACTAGGCACCCAAGAGATCCAGTTTAAATACTCATTTCTCACAGCCAGGGTTGCGCAAAGCTCCCTCTAAGCTGTGGAGTCTTGTGAGCAAAAATTCCACTTTGTGAGTTACTGTTATTAAAGTTGTGAGCAAGCGATTTGGGTACTGCATAAATTAGTTTGCTCTGGAGCCCCATCCTTCCTGAGCTAAAACAAAAATGTGTGAGCCGGAGGCTGAAAAACTGTGAGCTAGCTCACACTAACTCAGCTTAGAGGGAACGCCAGCCTCCAAGTGGGAGTTATAACAAAAAAAAAGGACTATGGTGTGAAAGGCGTTTATACAATAGCCAAAGCACCTATATAGTAAACTCAGGGGTCATTTCCTGCAGGAGCGCACAGGAGCGGAGCTCCGGCAGTAAAGAGCCCAGGGGGCGGGCACATGCAACAACCCCCACCCCCTGCTCCCAGCAGCCCTCAGTCAGAGCAAGAAGCAGCCAGGTAAGTTGCAGAGCCCAC